TTATATATATAATATAATATATTATATTGTATATATATATAACTAAACGAAAAGAATTAGATGAACAGAAATGTTTCGGTCCATTAAATCACAAGCACCTGACAAGACTTTAGCCGCTTCGAGATGCCTTTCGCGTGTCTTATAAGCATCATCTTTTCTTCTTGAATGCTGTCACTTCTATATAACGATGAAGTGACTTACCGATCAGAAGCGACTCTTGCACATCTAATTTTCAAAATTTCAAAAACTAGCAATTTTTTCCGTTAGTATTTTCTCAACAACTGCTCACATTTATCAGTATTTTTCTAACTTTGCGATCCTGTCATTTACAAAAAGATATCCAAAGAGATGCGGCAAAGTTATCTCACACAATATGAAACGTTTTTCCTGATTCTCATTTACGTAATAACCGTCTTTTTTTTGGTTTTTCTGAGCTAATTAGCTGCATCCTTCTCAAGCGATGCACTTAACAGATGTTTGGGCGGCATTTTCTTGACGATAATGCCCTTTAGCCATTTCTTTTTAACATGGACAAAGCTTAACTATCAAAAAAATAAAGCTAAACATAGAACCATTTCCTTCCTGAAAATGAATTACAGCTGCCGCTCGAATTATCCAAATGCTTATCGCAGACTTCAAGAGCAATAATATGTTATCAAATAAAAAAAATTAACCAAAATCCGTTGGTAACAGCAAATCGAAAGCCCACAAAAATCCATGGTACAGCGATATTCCGTAGCAATATTGATACGGGGCCGATCAGCTGAAAAAGCAATACCTCCGACTGGCTGGTACCATTGTACTGCAAATTCGTAGGTAACAAATGCTGCGCATTCTGCGCTTGATGCATTTATACCTCGAAACTGCGATCACTGCCCTATAAAATGAAAATATATTACAGCAGGAAAATGTGGCAATGTCGTAGTAAGCAACGCTATACTTCATGTAAACCAAGCGGCCATGATTCAAATCTCAGCCAATTTTTCTTTCGAAGGCGGGAAACCAGAAATCAGGGAGGAGAAGACGAGTGCGAGGAGGAGAAAATGGAAGGAAAAAAGAAGGAATGGAGGAAGGTAAGGAATATGGTTAATACTTCCTAGATAGGCACAATATCCATTGCTTGTTCACTAAACTCACCGTTCCTCCCTTTAATTTAGCACCCGCGAATCGAATATGATAGAAGTTGAGCACGTGAAAAAATATATAAATAACATATATACATTCATCCAGACATACATGCATACCTACCTCTTTAGGGTTAGAGAGAAAATATGAGCAAAAAACGATGAAAGGGTTGTTAAGAACTATTAAAGTAGGTAACAGATGTTTCGGTCCATTAAGTCGTATACATTTCTTACCGTTACCACAATTGGACCTCGTCGTCAGTACGACGATTTTGGTAAAAGAATTTTGAAAGGTAATTTATTAAGATAGGAAACTGAATAAGCTAGTTGATGTGTGCCTGCAAAAGTCAAAAGAAAAGTAGAAAGTAGAAGATGAAGTTGAAGAAAAAGTAAAAGACAAATGAAAAAAAAAAAGTGGAAGGCAAATGAGGGTAAATACATATAATATGTTATACATCTACTTATACATATGTTGTACATTATATATAATATTACATATTATATGAATTATATTTTATACATATTGTATTATATATATTATATTTGTTATATATCACACATATTGTATAATACATATATATTATAACATATACTTTTTTTGTGTTTTGTTAAAAAGTGAGAGAAAATATGAGGGATAATGATGAGCATATGTGAGACAAGAGTTT